GGAAAGTTTGTACAGCAGTAGTTAAAAACCTACAGCTAAAAACCATGTGTGATAGTCAGCATGTTTGTTTCCCCTTAGATTGGGTTGACAATAATGTTCAATTTTATTATCCATGTGCAGCATTATGCTAGAAGTCATCACCAGTACAATAAACCAAGGAAAAGAAATAAAGGGCACACGGATTAGAAAGAAACAAAACTCTCATTTGCGGACAGCACAATTGCCAAATATAATAGCCTAATAAATCAACATCAAAGGCAAAATGAGTCTTTAAAAGTTAAAGGTACAAAGTCAATATGCAAAAACTCTTTTCCAAAGTATGGGAATTTCTAATTCTTACAGTTAACAGTTGAACTAAAAATTTAATATCATGTACAGGAGCACACAAAAACATGTGTTAATATAATAGAAAAATATTAATGAAAGTAAAGACCTAGGGGCTGGAGAGATGGCTCAGCAATTAAGAACACTCATTGTTCTTGCAGAAGATCCAAGTTCGAATCCCAGCACCCACATAGCAGCTAACAACTGTCTGTAACTCCAGTTCCAGGGGATCCAGCAGCCTCTCTGTCTTCCACAGGTATTGCACAACATGGGTGCACTTACACCTACATGCAGGCAATAAATGCATACTCAAAATAAAAATAAATAATTTTTTTAAAAAAGTTAAAAAAAAGAGTAAAGACCTAAAGCAAGCAGAATATACAGAGTTTAAGACATTTACCTTGTCAAATCTGTCCAAATTGTAGGTATTATCAATATAATCACAAGAAAAATTCTGAGAGACTCTTTTTTAGATATTTACATTTTTGATTCTAATATTTGTATTGAGGTAACAACTCGACAAAACAGTTTTGGTAAAGGAGATTGAACACAAAGATGGAAGACACATTCCAGACTCAAGACTAATAACTAAGGGGATGCAGTACTTGCATGAAGACACACAAATAGGGGGCCAGAGAGATGGCTCAGTGATTAAGAACACTGACTGCTCTGGTAGAGGACCCAGGTTCAGTTCCCAGCACCTACATAGTGGCCAACAACCATCTGTGACTCCAGTTTCAGGGAATCCAATGCCTCTTTTGGCCTTTGCAGGCACTGCATTCACATGGTGCCCTTATATCCATGTGGGATAAATACTCATACACATAAACTAAAAATATATACAAAAAAATTAAAGACAAGAAAATACACTGAGGTACAGAATACAGAATTCAGAAATAGACCCACATGCTTATGGACAGTAGATTTCCACCAGTGATGCAAAGGCGTAATTGGTGCTTTAAAGAAATGGTACCAGAGTAAGTAGAGAGCCGTCTGCCCCTCTCTTTTGTGTGTGCATGTGAATGCATCTCTGTATTCACACATAAACAAATGCTGTTCTATGTCTATTTAACAACCACATCTAACTTTTTTTCAAATAATGCTCTTCATGTGACATCTGTCTTGATTCAAGGTCAGGAAAATGTGAATTCAGCTTATATTTTGGAAAAAATGGGATTTCCACAGAATATTAGATGAATAAAATTTCAAAGATGTTCTTTAAGATAGATAGAAAGTAAATACTAGTTTTTAGTCCAGTCTATACCAACATTTATTGTGGAAGGCATTATGTAACAAAATTTACTGCACAATTTTTTTTTAATTTTTAATTTTGGTATTTTTTAAAAATAGGGTCTCAATATATAGCCAGGATGTCAGTATCCCTAGCTGGCCTGGAACTCACTATGTAGACCAGGTTGGCCTTGAACTCACAGAGATTCACCTGTCTCTGCCTCCTAATTGGTAGAATTAAAGGCATGTGCCACCATGCCCAGCCTTGTCTAATTTTTTGATAAGAAAATATGTTTCTCCTCATGGTCTTCCTCTCTTACTTCTTCCATCAAGCATTCTTTTATTGTTATTTCAAAAATTTTTGTTTGTTTATATGTGTTTCTCCACCCCACTCCCACCCCTTGTGGGTGCGTGTGACAACACACATGGAGGTCAGAGGACAACTTTCAGGAGTCGGTCTTCTCCTTCAATCATGTGGATCCCAGGAATGGAATTCAGGCTGTCAGCCTTGGCAGCAAGCACCCTTACCCACTCAGCCATCCCATAGTCCCCCAAACATTCTTGAACCCATAAATGTTTAAAACTAACTGTTCACAAATGAAAACTGAATTTTTATAGCCATCACTGTTCCTAATTTTGACAGTTTGTTCTTTAGTTATTGCGCAGCGAATTCTTATTCGGTGCTCTGGTGCTCTTCTGGGTTTTGAAAAATAGTTTTCTAACAGTGATAGTCACAGTAGTCTCATAGAAGGACACAGAATTTGAATATGTAACAGTGTTGCATTTGGGAGAGTTTTGCTATTTTCTTCATATACATTTACAAACATCTAAGTACAAACAAGGAAGAGTGTAGTTCTTAATGATTATAGCTACTGAAATAAATATATCTGTCCCCTATAGAAAATTAAAACCTGCTTTTAAAAGAAGTGAAAGTAAACAGGTAACTGTTAAAAGGAGATGACAGTCTGTTGATTTATGTAAAATGCAACCAACCAGATGTTATAGAAAATATTTCACTCAGAAATAAAGAATCCTTTAAACACACACACACACACACACACACACACACACACTAAAAGGGACATTAGCCATTGGTCTGGTCTATATACCACACAGTTAAAAATGCTCATCTTTTACCCAAGACACACCTAGATACAATCCAATTACACTTAGTATTATTGCTAACATTTGAAATTCAAGGACTTTTAGGTATCAATAGCCCCAAAAGTTAATTATATTCTAGTTTACCCGAGTTTTATAGATTCTTCCAGTTTTCCTAAATAATCAATGCCTTACTTGGCTAAGATAATATGCACTAAGCACTAAACACAGGATTAGGTCCTCAGTAAGTGCTCAATATTAGGTATAATCATTACCAAGCAAGCATCTCTGGGGAATGGAAAGAAGTACTCTGCAAGTAAATAAGATGCTTATCCAATACTTCAAAACCATTCCTATAAACCTGTTACTGAAGCCTCTCAGTAGGAGAGTGTCAAAGCACACCGACAAAAGAATATAAAAATGAACAAAGTTAGTATTTTCTTCTCAGTGAAGTTGTTACCTTAAGATTTACTAATATTTCTACAAATGAACAGCAAAAAATGTAGGAGTTATACCTTATTAATAATCATTCTTTTATCTCTATTGCTCTGGAAGTGTGTGTGTGTGTGTGTGTGTGTGTGTGTGTGTTGTCTTGAATAATAGTCAAATTTTGGGGATCTTAAAAGTAGAAATATTAGGAGCTGGAGAAATGGCTCAGTGGTTAAGAGCACTGGCTGCTCTTGCAGAGGATCTGGATTCAGTTACCAGTACCCATATGGCAACTAACAATTGGCAGTAACTCCAGCTCTAAGGGATGTAATGCCCTCTTCTTACCTTTGTGAGTACTGCATGTATGTAGTGTACTTACATACATGCACACAAAACACTCATACACATAAAAAAATGTTGTTGGGGGCTGGAGAGATGGTTCAGTGGTTAAGAGCACCAGCTGCTCTTGCAGAGGACCTGGGTTCAAGCACTGGATGGTCTTGCAGAGGACCCAGGTTCGGTTCCCAGCACATACATGGTAGCTAAGAGCTGTCTGTAACTCCATTTCTAGGGGATCCCATAACTTCTTCTGACCTCTTTGGGTATTGCATGACACAGGTGCACTTATATACAAGCAGGCAATATGCTCATACACATAAAATAAAAATAAAATATTTTTAAAGCTTTTTAATGTTTTCTCTAAACCAACAAATTAGTTCCAAAAACATTTTATCTCTAAGTTGACTTACTCAGTTAAGTGAGAGCTATATGGCACAGATTTTCTCTTTTGCCTTGGTTGCTAGAAAATTTAGAATTTTCTTTACTGCCCATCGAGAGTGGTTAACTTGCCTCAGGAATCTAGAACTATTTATTTAACTCCCTTAAGGTGATCTCATCAGATTCTAACTGTTCGTGTTTAATCAAATTGTGCATGAGTCAAGTTCTTGTAGAACAATTCTGCAAACAATACTGAAGAAATCCGTATAAGGATAATTTATTGAGCAGCAATAACTAGATATCAGAGTTTTAATTTATGTAGTGATTTTCATACACACTATGTACAAAAATATTAAGGGTACTTAATACACTTACTGGCTATTTCTATTTCAAGAATTTACATCCATGCTTCAACCATTTTTACTTTAAGCATCATCATTTCATTTGTTTTGGTTTTTTTCTTCAGTAAATAACAACTAATCAAATTGGCCCTGTAACACAGAACTGAATATTTGATACTGATGGAAGGAAATCCCTGTGCTATTCCTAACACATGAAAACCCCCCAACACTTACTTGGTATGGTCATAAAAAATCCCTAATACTGTGAACTTGGAAATAAAACAACCGACATCTGTTCTCACACAGGGACAGGCTGACTTGTGAGACCTGGAGGAGATGGTATGGCTGGACAGGCCTAGTGTACTCAGGACCAGTCTCCACATCTTGTCAGCAATCAGGAGATTCCAGGAAGGGTGCTCATTGTTTAAAAGGCTGGATCAGCCCTGGAAATGCAGCCCTGTGAGTCCATCCTGCCCCACTCCAGGGATCAGGATAAAACTTGGAAAAGGAGAACTATTTCCACCAAAGCCTCACCTCCGCACAATTATTAACCTCCAATAACAGAACCTTTGTGTCATGAGGATGAAAATTTTACTCTCTATTCATTTATGGATGATTTTTTTCCTGTTACTTAAAAAACTGATTAAAAGTCAGGCCAAAGTTATATGCTTCTGTTTGTGTACTACAGTCTCCAATATTCAACTGTTCTGATATTAATAGAAGAGGTTATTCATATTTAATTCAGCTAGTTTCAATACTGTAAATATCTATTAACTAAAATTGTTAAAAGAGTTTGCAAATAAACAGATCTACTGATTAGTTAATAAAGGCTGTTTGTGAGAAAACTTTTTTCCTTACATAATAATGATCCCATTATCAATGGAAAATGAGTCTGAGGGTAATCCAGCAATATTCCAAGTTCGAATTGCCACAGCTTCTCCCAGAGTACCCATAAGAGAATATTCATCTGAGCAGGGGATATCTCTTCCTTTGCACAAAGTTGTCCACTCCTTGGTTTGGTTCTTTAAAACAGTCACAGAAAGATACAGATACGAGTTAAGTTAGGGTTACCAAAGGAATATTTTACAAACTCCTCAACAAATCTTTATTTACTGAAAAAAAAAATCACTACTGATGCTCTACCTCAAAAATGATTTGTGTATCAGATCTTTTTCCAATATCATATCATTATATAATTTCCAATTAAGTAAAATTATAATTATAACATAAAATTATAATTAAGAAGATAACAACATACTCAAATGAAAATTAGCTATAATCAATGATGAGAGAAAGTCTATCAGTTACATAATAAAGCCATGATTTTGTATCTGGAATAATTACCACATAGTATTTTAAAGTTTAAATCTGCACAGTAGTTGAAGTCCTCTGTGTTTTTAAATATTTTATTTAGGCTGCAAAAACCAGAAAAGACAATATATTATTATAATACAAAAGTAAACCCATGGGACAAAACACAGAAAACATTTATTTCTGGCTCTCATGTGCCTTGTGGTGTGAAACCCTCCTCTGTGGCCCCCTGCCCTGACTCCTGAGACGCCTGCCCCTCTTTTGGAATAACGGCTCTTTCTCGCTTCTGTAAATCGCTTGATTGCTAGGCTGAGAGGACAAACTGCACTGACCCCATTTTGACTAGTTGTTTCAGGCAAGCCTGGACCTGTCCAGGCATGTTGTAATCTCCACCTACTACCCCCACCCCAGGAGGCTATAGATCAAGCAAGCCTAGGCATATACCAGCCTTATAAGGTAAGAACAGAGACTTCTGGCCTCACAGATAACAGCACATTCCATAGCTCTGAGGGTAGCACCCACCAATGAGAAACCCCCAGGGCTGTATCCCTTGTAACCAATCAATTCAAAAGTGTGTTGGCGCGCACAGGCTCCTCGGACCAATCAAGATGTGACTCTGTTATTCTCCTCCTCCCTTGGTCTAAAACCTATAAAAGGCTTCCTCCCCCTGCAATCGGGGTTCTCAGCACAGATCCATTGCGTTGGTGAGATCTGGGAGCCCGAGCTTAAGCATGAATAAAGACTCTTTGTTCTTGCATGCCTCTGGATTCCATGGGTATTCTTGGGGTTCTGTTCTCTGGGCACAACAGTGGGAGGCACCATCTGAGGACTACTAAGGGTCTATTAAGTCAGGGCACACTTTGAGGTTGTTCTCTCTAACTTGAGGCATGGTCTGTTAGGGTGCCTAGGAACCGGGAGAGTACTTAACTAAAATTCATTCTTAAAAAGTCGGAAGTCCCATTAAGGGACATCTGGGGACACTAACTTTACATGATAGGCTCTAACACAAATGACAGAATGTATGAACTCTAGTGGGCAGGGGGCTATGGGAGGGTGCCAAAGGGGCAGAGGGTATAAAGATGATTTTCTGTATGAAATAAACAAAAATTCAATAATTTTTAAAAAACTTGTAAGTCAATATTCACATTCAGGTTATTGATCAAAAGCTTCAAAAATAACGAAAGTCACTACAGAGAAAACAGAAGCACAAAAGGCAGGTGTCCACAATAAAAACGGAATGTGTTACGCATGATACTGGAACCTGCCTTGGGCTGATGCTGTGTGTAGGTGGTCCTGGGTGAGAGGGCTTGGTTGGTATTTCCTTCTCCCTCATACCCTTGCTGAGAATGTTAGACCAACACTCTTCTAAATTTGCACATGAAAGGCCATGCAAATGTGGGGTCTGTAAAATATTCCTTCATAATTCAATTCAAGTCATGCTCAGTTAGTAGGAACATCATAGAAATGATACTATGCTTTCTTCATTGTCTTCCACCATGGCACGTGATTTCTAATTATTCATTTACTGAGAATGCTAATTTTTAATCACTTCTTTAAAGCCAAACCTGCCTCATAATTATATGATCTGTGTGACTGTTGGTTCTTTGGACGTAAAGATAAAACATAAAGATACACGGCTACAGATTCTTTGTTATTTACAACTTGGAGTGTAAGGAAGGCTGCCACATGCTGTACTGGAAAGAGTTACAGCAACCCAGGGCTAAAGTTTATAATATGGGAAGCAGGATGGGATTAGCTAGGTTTTATGCACTTCCTGGGGACTGGGCCTTTGAATAATTCTGTGGACATGAGCAAGGGGTTACCCTTTAATGGTGAGTAGCTGGGGGCTTCTAGACATTGTCCATTGTATCCTGGGAGTATTTCAGCCTAAAAAAAGAAAAATCATTGGGCTGAGGGCTTAGTAAACTACACATGAAAAAAAATAGAGATTTTACCCATAGTTCAAAATAGCGAAGATTGAAGTTGTAAAATATTACAACTTTTCCCTGTTAATTTGTTATTTTATCCTTCCCATTTGCAATTAATATTGCAGGCCTTTGTTGGGAGACATTTTGCGACCGGAAAAATGTCCTGGATTTGTCAAGCACTCATTTTTTCATGTACTAATTCATATTTGTATAGTTTTCTCTTTTCATATTTTAATCAGTGAGAAACATTACTATCATTGTTTGTTATGATGCTGCAATTGCCCAAAATTTAATGACATCTAAGATAAACAAGAGCCAAGTGTTGGTGGTACACACCTGTAATCCCAGCACTCAGGAGGCAAAGAAGAGAGACTGACACAAATCCCAAGCCAGCCTGAGCTACAGTGTGAGACCTTGTCTCCTCCACCAAAACAAACCAACGAACCAAAAATGGTCTTCCTATTTTAGCGTTGGTTGATTAGCAATCTTAATTCCATCTGCAAAGTCCTCTTTCTATATAATATAACCCACTCACAAGTATAAGCGCATAAGAATGCATTCACACTTGGAGATAAAGAGCATGAAATCCAAAATTCTGCCGATTTTAAGTCATTAATAAAAAAAAAATCTGGTGAATACATGGCATAGCTATGTAAGCTGGAGGGACAGATAGCGTTTCCTGTTTGGATTCTGTCTCCTGGTACACAGCTCTGTGGGCATGCTTTCCCCTGTTTATTTCTGTGCTCTCAGTTGTACTGCAGACTTCTGGGGAGGTCTGTGAGTTTGCTCAGATCTGCACTGGAGTGAACGTGATGGCCAAGGATATGGGAAAGCAGAGAAATTGGAACAGTAGTTGCTGGAGAATACTCAGTGAAGTTGGCCAGCAGAGTATATTGTATATCAGCACAAATGAACCAAGTAGCAATTCAAGTGGCCTAATTCTATGTCTATAAGGGTGGAGCACCACAGAGCAAATGAAAAGAGCATGGAGGACTCAAAAGAGGAACTCCCCCCAAATGAGCCAAGGACCTTGGTTGGAATTCAGGTGACAAGATAGACAATGTAGGTGGAAAAGCAGTCATTAGGGTACAATCTTGTGAAAATGTCCATTACCACAAAACACTTTTACTTTATTATGGTCAAGAAAAAAAGTTGTTTAAAAAAATTCAAATAGAGGAACTTAAAGGACAGCTTTTGCTCCTTGCCCTCCAAGGTCGACTAAGTTCCAGGGAACTATGGAGCATCTCTCAAAATGTCCTGTAACTGTTGTGAGTCACCTGTCCTCTTGATCAAGGAGGCCATGGAGACCCCACCAAATGGACTTGAACCAGTATCCAGTCTACAAAGAGGAGGGTCAACACAAAGGAAAATTTCCTCCATGCTTCCAAGTGAAGCCAGCCATGGTCAAACAGGACCTTTGATTGATCTTCACATAGAGGAAACAGGTAAAAGAAAGGAGCCAGGAGCTCCTCCCAAGCCCATGTGATCCCCAAGGAACAGATCTTCAAACTACCTTAAGAGTAAAAATAAATTGGCTTATTTGGGCTAACTATATGGTCTTAAAGGCCCAAAAGGAAAGTATAACCAAAGATTAAAGTGATCAGTATATTTGTTTAAGAGTTCAAGGGATTAAACTTCCCAGACATTAGACTTAGGTCTGTATAAAATGTTATTTAGACAATTATTTCTCATTGATGATTTTGTTTCTAATCACAAAGTGCTGCTTAGATATAAGACTTCAAATCTTGGTCTGAAATACTATAGTGCCCACCTGTAGCTAAGGGAAAAGACCCACTATTTTCCTAAAATGATGGACAAATTCGTTTTCTCCCCCTATCTAGAAGCCTTTGCGAGGGAACTGACACTGATTCTAGCCACTCCAACAGCTATCAAAGTGCCTGAAAACAAATTCTGAGCTCATCACTCTCAAGTCCAGCCTTGGCAGACAAAAGAAAAATGAGGAGGAAGCCAATAGAGGGATGCTTTTAGAAGCTCTTGTCAAGAAATTCCAGTGGACTCTGATATGAACATTTGAAATTTTCCCTGTTTTGACTTTTTTCTGGGTTCCTGTCTAGAACTTGTAATGCTCACTACTCTTACCTTTACTTCTCCTTCACATCTCCTAGGCACCAGTCAAGGACTTTCTTTTCTCCCTACAATTTAGAGTTATGCAATTTGGGAGTCTTTTAGTAGACCCACTGAAGGGGTACCCCAATTGCCTCACCCCGCATCCCTGTTCAGTATGGAAGAAGCCAGAGTGGTCTACGTCCAGATTCCCTACCAGCAATTTGGGTAACCTCTTCAGGGGATGATGTGATAAGAATAGGAGGTAGGAATTGGCTAGGCAGTTAGGGTAAAAAGACCCAAAGAAAAGTAGCCAGTTTCTTGGCTAAAAATCACAATGTCCTTGGTCCTCTTAGCAATATACTCTGTTCCAAAGGCCAAAAATGTCAAAAGTATTTGGAAGTGCTTATCTAATCCCTAAAAGATTTTAGGGTTACCTCTTCAGAGGGGGGAATGTTAGAGTAGCAAAAAGCCCCATTTAAAAAAATAGAGTACACCAGGTTGTTCAGGAAAAAGTGATGGGGAGATATGGGAGGAGTTGGCGGGGGCAGTAGGTGTGGATTTGATCAAAACACCTTATATGCATGTACAAAATTCTCAATAAATTTTTTTAAAAGTAAAAAAAAAAGTTCAAATAAAGTCAGATTCAGGGCTTGCATATCCTTTTCAGTACTGTAGAATTTTGTTGTGGGGACAGACATAGGCTTTACTGTTGAAGCAGTTTTGCCTGATTAACCTGGGACATTTGGAAATGTTTGTGTTCTATTTGTGAAAAGCATTTGAACTCTAGAAAAAAATTGACAAACGGTGGGCAGCTACTTAGGCTTGAGGGGGATGGGGATTCACATATTTATGGTGGCCCCTTTGTATTCACAAGACTTGAGGCCCTTTAGTGTTAGATAAGGACATGGGCAGTAAACCTATCATTAGTTGGGGCTCCCCATGAGCAGACAAATGAGTGGAGAGAGGACTCTAAAGGAAGCAGGACAAAAAAGGTATAGAAGACAACCACAGGTGAGGGATCAGCCTTAGCTCTTCAGGGTGGCTTTGGTTGGATGCCACAGGGAATAGGGGGTATAAGGCATTCTTTGGAGTTGTCCCAACCAGAAGGAAGACAGACTTTCCTGTCCATCACTCATTTTGGGCTGCACTGGAGCAGGAAAACTCCCAGGTCCTTCTAGCTGTCCAACCAGTGGATAAAATGCTCAACAGGAGTCAGTGAGATAGTCCGGAGTATACTATGAACTAACAGAAGGGTACAAGTGGCTGCTGGCCATTCCATTGTTCCAAGCCGAAGTAGGAGGGTAGGAGGCTCCTGTTCTGCTCTCTTATCCACCAGCTTTATGGCTCTGGGGAATTCTCTTAAATTTTAAAAGCTTCAGTGTCTGAAATTGTCAAGCCAACTAATCTATCACTAAACAGATAATCAGTTAAATGTTAACCACTTGAGCTACATATAAGATATTAAGGCCATAACCCCAGGCAGGTCATCTGAAGAGTATACAAATGAATGGGCAGAGCTGCAAATCTGAAGGTCATGTACCAGGGCAGATGCCACAGGAATGAAAAGGTAACATAGAGAGGCTCCGTCTGTGAGGATCTGAAAACAGTTAATTTAAAGAAACCCAATAATCAAACCATAACTGAAGCACCAAGAATGAGCTCTGCTTCAGAGAAAGTCCTAAGTGAGCTCAATCAACACGATATTCAAGTAAATGAAGTCAAATTCCAAAGCCCTCCACAAAGGCAAGCTTTCATTGCCTGTTCTCTCCAGACACCAGAAACTACTGTCAAATGCTGAACTTCAGTTTTCTTTCTCCTCTCTCTCTCTCTCTCTCTCTCTCTCTCTCTCTCTCTCTCATCTCTCCTGCTCTATGTCCTTGCTCCCCCTCTCCCCCTTTTCTCTCTTATCTTTCTGTCCTCTGTATTTCTCTGATCACTCCCCGTATTGTGACAGTGCCATGTCCTTGGTTGCATTCCAGTTCAATTTTTCTAAAGAGAGCCAAAGAGTATGTTGGATGTCACTGAGGAAAAGCAGGAGAGAAAGGCAAATGGAAGGATTAGCATCAGCTCAGCAAGAGGAGTGGAGCCTGAGAAAGACTAGGCAGAGTCAGAGAGGAGAAGGTGAAGGAGAAAGTTGGGTTTTGTTTTCTAAGGAAAGAAGCTGCTGCATGGAGCTTGAGGTAGGACTGTTTCCATCTCTGACCTGATTTTGAAATGACTTAGTGTGATGATGCCTGTATACACAGGTGGGTGCACACAGACACACACATACACACATGCATGCACGCACACACGCACACCCCGCTGATTCCTTTACACTTATTCATGGACTAAAATTTCATTGTTAGACTTTGCCACTTTAAAATCATATTTAAGAACAATATTTATTTCAATTTTTTATCTATTATTTTTATTTTATATGTATATGTGTATTGCCTGCACATAGGTAAGTGCACCTGTGTTGTGCAATGCCCATGGAGATCAGAAGAAAGAGTTGGATCCCCTGGAACTGGAGTTACAAATGGCTGTTAGCCACCATGTGGGTGCTGGGAATTGAACCCAGGTCCTCTGCAAGAGCAGCCAGTGCTCTTAACTGCTGAGCCATCTCTCCAATCCCACAAAACAACTTTTTTAAAACTCCACCCAAACTACAAAAATAAAACTTGACATTAATGCTGCAATGACAGGAGGAGAGGCAGGAAGAGACCGAAGGGTATCCCTCACCTGTCTGTAGTTAGACGTAAAGGCTCCCAGGTAGGCGACAACCCCAGAGGAGATGAGGATATCTCCGGTCAGGTTGATGTACATCTGCCCGAGCTCCAAAGCTGTGTGGCTCCACCGGGTTTTCTCACCTCCCAGGCCCCCAATCAGCTGTTCCGCCCGTTCTAGTTTTTTGCTGCACAAGTCAACCTCAAAAATAAAAGTAAGTGTCTATCAGCATCTACAAGTGTTGGAAAACCCTGCTGAAATACACAGAAAATTCTAATTTCAACCTCAAGTGATTTTTTTTATTACAAGCTAGCATGAAATTCTAAAAACATTTAAAAAAGAAAAATTTGGCGTTTCTCATTGAGATATGGCAAATTCATGATATCTTGCTCTTTTAAATAAGTTAGTTACTTTCATAAAATTCTCAGAATTCATGAGTATTTAGCATGTACTACAAGGTTTAACTAGAAGGAAACAAGAGACTGAGATTAAAATAATAAAGAAAATTCTCCTTCAAATATAGATTTTGAAAATAATCTGAGAGAAGGGGAAGAAGGTCTGGGAACGAAGCTCTGCAACTGAGTGTGTGTCTAGCATGAGGTCCAAGGTCCCAGCCCTGGCACAGATGCTTTGTGCTTTAAACTTTTTAACCTCCTTTAACTTCCAGTTGGTTTAAGAATAGTTTTAAAAACTAAAAGTTTTGACAATTTACACTAGTTTACAAAAGTCTTCAATGGTGTTAAATGGTGTCAGTCTACTCAGATACTTGCAAGTCAGCCTAAATTGGAACATCAGTCAATACCTAAGAGGCTCATTTCTGCCTCAGACAACCTACGCAATTTTATTTTATACAGTTAAGCAATGTGACAAAAAAAAAAAAAGAAAGAAGCAGATATTTATCCAGGTGGCAAACTTGGGGAAAAGCCACCACAACCCATGTTACAGCAGGATCCTAGTAGAATACCAGAATTATTTTTATTTAATGTTAAGTGATATAATGTCATTACTCTTAAAAAAAGATAAAGTTTACCTTGAGGTTCAAATTGTAACCACTTATATGGAAAGAGAACCTTGATCAATAGAGGCATTTACATTACTTTGGAGTTAGAATTTCTCTTGTATTTTTTCCTGATACTAGTAATTATTATATTAATTAAATGCTTTTATATTAAAAGATATATTGGGGTTAAAGAAATGGTTCAGCAGTAAAGAGCATTGGTTGCTCTTGCAGAGGACCTAGGATCAGTTTCCAGCACCCAAATGGTGACTAATATCCCTCTGTATCTCCAGTTCCAGGGGTTCTGATGCCCTCTTCTGACCTCCATGGGAATTGCACACATGGTACACTTACATACATGCAGGCAAAACACTCATACACATAATTTTTTAAATTAAGATATAAAATATCAGTTTATCTCATAGATTGGCTTGAAAAAGCAAACGGTATTTAATGGGCAACAATTTTGATGTTTCCAAATTTAAACATTTTCCATTTAATTTTTCCACTGTAAATATCCTTTGCCGTTCTAGTTTCTTTCTTCGCCCATTATTTTTTCAGTGGTGCTCATAATAAACTGAATCACACCTCAGACTATGATAACATTGCCATTGGGAACCACTAAAGAAAATACTTTTGTGAAACTTTTCCTTCAAAGATTAAAAATGGTTGAAAGAACTCAACCATTCTTTTTTTAAAGGGTCAGAAAGCTAATGTCTTAGGTTTTGTGGCCCAAGAGGCAAAGGTATGTATTATACAGCTACTTACACAGCCATGTTAAGTCACATGATCATTTAAAAAATGTCAGACCCACTATAAGCTCTAAGATCATGCAAAAACAGGCAATGGACAGATCTAGCCTTTGGACCATAGCCTGCCAACTCCTGGCCAGGAAGGAAACAGGATTGGGGTGTTCTGTGCTGGTAGCAATTCTGTTCTTATTTGCAACATGAGAGTTTTCACATATTTACAACGATGAGCATATACCTGGTTTTCCAAGTCAACTTTCTTCTGTTTGTTTAACTCAAGTGTGTCTTGAAGCCTGGCCAGCTTGTCCTGAACTTCGTGCAGGGCAGCCTGCTTCTTCCTGAGACCACCCATAGCGATTTTAAGCTCCCCTTCAGCAGCGGCCAGTTTTATCTTTTTGGGTGCTACTATTTTTGCCACTCTGCAAAAAGTAAAATCAGAAAATTAAATTCCATTGAACATTTATAGAGAAGTTTCTACCAGTGAATTTACTTTCCAAGTATCTTTACAATGACGCAAATGCTTCTTCATGCAGAATTCACACTGATTTCAATATTCCACATTTCACGGAAGAATCAAATTTGATCCCAGGTATAAGAAATGACCATTAAGACTTCAGAGGTAAGAAAGCAGATTAGCAGCTTCCACCACGTGACTTCATGAAAAAGAAGGGCCAAGGTGTCCAAGCAGAGAAACAGAGAGAGCATTGGGAATTGAGGAAGAGGTAGCCAGGAGCCTGGCACATGATTCACATCTGTGATTCCAGTTCTTGGGGGACAGAGGCAGGAGAGGCTGGTCTGGTTTACATAGCCCACTCTAGGTCAGCCAGGGCTACACAGTGTGACCCTATCCCAAAACAAACAAAGCAAAGTAAAAGTTGACAGAGCAGATAATCAACATGAAGAAATGGTGCAGAGAAAAGTTAGAGAAGCCACAGCCACAAAGTAAGCCTGACGACCCTCAACAAAACAAACTGGCTCCTGGCCACAGGAGAAATCCACAGTTTTCACAAGTCTTAAGTCCAGTGTGGGGATGTGGTGTGACAGAGGCTCCTTCCATATGGCAGGCCAGTACAGGGGAAGAAATTCAATGCACTACTCTCTATCTCAGTGTGCAATAGCCATGTACCATCTTGAGAAAGGGGGGTCTATTGTTTAAGACTGGGCTACTCCAGTTAACTGGAAACAAGAGGGGGGAAAATGACAAGTCATGGAGCCTGAGAATACCCTGCCATAGTGAGTGAGACACAGTCAAGAGTCATGGACACAGATTTGTATTGGACACAGAACCACAAGAAGTTTAAACAGCAGGGAGCCTCAGCTGAGGCCATGGTGACTGGTGGTCTGCCCTCTGTGGTGAGGAGACAGTTCCAATGCCTGGGGAATACCACAGAGACTACGAACTCCAAGACTGTGGCCACCAGAAGTTTATAGCTGGGAGTGCTCATATGACAAAAATCAGAGAGATCTCAAGTAAACAGCCTAATGATGTCCCCGAAGGACTAGAAAAGCAAGGACAAGCTAAGCCCAAATTTATTAATTGTAGATTCTAAGAAATAACAATGTTCAGCATGAAATTAATGAAATGGTAATTAAAAATGGTTATTAAAAGAATAATACAAAGAATCAATGAAACACAGAGATAACAAGATTGCCAAACTAGCCAAAAGAAAAAGAAAGAAAAAAAAAAGACAAAGCCTTAAGCAACCCTACGTGGAAGAAAGCCCTTCCAGAAGTAATATGGTTATTAAATGAAAATCCCAGTTCCAGAGGTGGGCTGGCCCCTATGAGCTATTGACTTGAGGGACACTAGAGGTCCCCAAAACAATAAAGGCCATTGCCAATAATGTTGGCTGTACACTGAAGTGGATGGAAAAACCCTATTGCTGAAGACACTGCATGATGTGAGTGCAAGAGAGGGAGAAATCAAGCTTGGACTAAGCTGGAAACTGCCTGCCACTGGATGGGTGGCTTTCATGGTGCCAAAAGGCAACACACAGATGACTGGGAGAGAAAGTCCACTATAATTCTCCTCAACGACAGACCCTATGTGTTGCACTACCAACATACTAAACAAAATGTTGCTGATGGTACAATAGTGGAGTGTCTAGTGTATGTAAAACCAGCAAATTTTCAATTGGATATAATGCCCACTCCTACAAGGGGAACATCTATCTGGTACTGCAGACCCAGCCAAACCCCTGTGGCACGGGAGAATATAGGCCCCAGTGGGAAGTCACTGCAATTGCTTTGTTAGGTGGAAATGATGCACCTGCTAAAGTACCAACCAAGCATTTGTGTTTATACCCATAGCTTAAGTTATTATAGCAGTCACTGTTTAGATGTTCTTGCTTCTTGCTGTATATGTTTTTATAGTAGATGGAATCCTACTGAAACTGGCCAAAAGCCCATGGAAAACAGATGCAGAGGCCTGAAAGTTCAGTGCCTTGCCACAACAGTATGAAGATCATCCTACACTTACCACCCCCTCCAAGGCTCAGGGACTTTTGCAGAAGAGGTTGGCAGAAAGACTGCATGAGCCAGAGGAAGGGGTGGAGGTGTTAACTGGAAATGTCCTCTAACCACTATGCCAGCAAACTATAGTCACACCTCCTTCTCATGCTCATCAAGGAGTCAAGGGGGGAGTCAGTTACCCCTCCCACCAGATCAGTCAACCTTAGCTGCATATGGGGGGAGGGGCAAAGGATACATAAGCCTTATTAACAGAGTATAGGGTAGGGGTTTATTTACAGAAGAGTGGGTGCCTCACATTTACAGCTGTGCTGTAAAGTCCATTCTTCTGTAAATAAACCCCTACCCTATGCTCTGTTAAAAAATAATAAGTAAAACATTTTTAAAAAAGAAAAAAGCTAACAACTGTCTATCACCAGTTCCCGAGGGATCCGAAACCTTCTCCTAGCCTCCACAGGCTTTGCACACATGGGTGCACTTACCTACATGCAGGCAATTCACTCATATACATAAAATAAAAATAATAAATAAAATATTTTTAAAAGATACAAACAAATAAAACTAAAGACAAAAAGGGGGTATTACAAGTGCTACTAGTAAAATCTAGACGTCATTGTGGAACAGTCTGAAAAGTCCTATTCCAGGACATTGGAAAAGCTGGAAGAAATGGATAGAGAACAAAAGGGTGATGATGGCTGGCAAACATACTTGCAGTACATTGCAGACATGTGTGAACTACCATAATGAAACTCATTCCTGTCTACAGTTAACATGCATTTTAAAACAAATGGCCATTGAAATGAATATGAAATATATGAAGTAGATACATACACGTAAAATATATACAGGGTGAACTGTGGTGATTTTTCATAAGTAGAATAGAATGTTTATATAGAATATCACAATGCTAACCCAACTAGTTAAAGCTTAAATTTGATGAGGAGAAAGTAAGGTATTTTATACTTATCATTTTATCTTGGTAAGAAAATCCTAGAATACAACATCAACTCAATGTTATCTATGTGTGTGATAACTATGTGTGTGATAACAGAAAAGATTATCCAGGAAAAAGATGGACCCATCTTCTTGGTATCTAGAAAATGAAGTCAGTCATGTTCTTTCCAAACAACTGATAAAAATGTTAAATTAGAATTTATCATTGATACTCTATCATGGCCTGAAACATACATAGTATTATCATATATGTATAATGATTCATATTGGGTATGCATTTAAGAGACATCATGTAACAGCTGCTTTTCAGAAAAATAACAAAGCTTTTACTTATCTTGCTCATAATGTAAATTATTCTTCTATAACTATCAAAAAGTTTCATCTCACAGGACTATATATCTGAGCATGGTCTAAGGGGATTCATGAGACAATTTCTTGTCCAATTAAACACCTGTGTGGCTGGAATGTTTATGTATGCCTACGTGTTTATGTATGCCCTGTGCATGCTAGGCAAACACTATGCCACTGAACCATATCCCTAGCCCTTAATTTTCCTTATGTACTTCTGTCAAAGCAACATATTGAAACAGGATGGATGATAAGATGAAGATTTGGGAGTTTTGCCATCTCATATTAAACCACATATTGCAGGAGCTGGGGTTATGGCCCAGTCAGTGAAGTAAGTACCTGCTGTACAAGACGACGATGTGAGTTCAGATCCCCAGCATCTATGTAAAAGCCAGATGCAGCAGCGCACATCTATAGCCACAGTGCAAGAGAGGTATAGACAAGAGAATCCCTGGAGCCTAGTGGCCAGCTAGTCTTGCCAAACTGGTAAGTTCCAGGTTCATTAGAGACCTTGTCTCAAAAACATTAGCTTAGGAACTCAAAGAGAAAGTCACCCAATATTGACCTCAGGCCTCCACATGTAAACATACATGCATACACATGCACCGACAAGCATATGTACACACACCAGCCTGAACATGTACATATACCCCCCCAACACACACACACACACACAAAACACATTGAAAAGACTTGGAAAAAAAAAAAAAAAACACCGTTCTTCCTAATTCTTTTTCCCCTTGTGTACGCATGTGTATGTGTGCTTGTGTGCATGTTTGTGTTTGTGCAGGTATACAAATGTATGTTTCACATGTGTAAGCCTACATGTTGAGACCAGAAGACAACTTCAAGCATCACTCCTCGAGACGTGGTCTCTTAAGCTGGCCTGGAACTTGGGAAGCAAGCTAGGGTGGCTGGACAACAGGCCCTAGGGATGTGCCTGTCTTTGCCTCACCTGAGCTAGAGTCTAAGCCAGTGCCACCACACCTGGCTTTTATTATGTAGGTTCTGTGGATTGAACGCAGGACTGCATGCTTATAAGGCAAGCACTTATTGACTGAGCTCTCTCTCTGGCCCAAATCTCTCTTTTTTTTTTTTTTTGGAATGCTGTAGATGGAATTTAGGTCCTTGTATATTCTAGACAAGTGCTGTACCACTCAGCCAGGTCCCAAACCCTTCCCTATTTTTGACAAAATTTAAATATCTAAGAAATAGAATAAGCTGTTTTTGATTATCATGCCATACTTTTATTGCCATTTTAAACAAATCAATGAATATTTAGAAAGTCTTCATTTAAATTTTCTAACATGGTAAATAAAAAATAAATTTGGGAGACTCAGGAATGTCAAGTGATCCTGAGTCCCTAAACCTTAAGACCCACTGAAGTATGCATCCTTGCAACTGCTATAATTTTGGCTCTAGTAAGAATGAAAATGGATTCAAATATGCTTTCTGAAAAGCTTTTCACTTACATAGCCTTAAGTTTTACACCATCTTCCCAACTAAGCATGACAACAAAACCGTCCAGCTATGTTCCCCTCAGCACTCACTTGTCGTAGGAATCCATGGCGATCACCCACTTGCACAGACCCTCAGCAGCTGTTGAAGCATTGCGGATCTTTTCTGGAACAAAATCTGGGTTTGGAATATAACTTTTTCGTATGATATTCATATAAGCTGGAGGAATATTGTCCTTGTCATATTCATGAAGTGACTGCAGAAACCTTATGTCCCCAAGAAGTCTCTTAGCTGGGCCCCAGAAATCCTCAATTTTTTTCCCAGAGCCTGTCGGGTCCGGGATTTTGTCAGCTTTGATGCCTTTCAGAATACATATGGCTTCCATAACAAGCTTCACACCAGCAGGAGGACTCTTCATGGATTTCACCACCGTGATATCCTTGAAAAGCAACGTTTTAACTATTAATAACAAGAAATGTTTGCTTGCACATTCATTGTAAGGTTGGTACTTTCAAACTACACCTTAAGGTACAGAAACTCGTTCTCTATGTTATGTAGAAATGATGGTGATGATAGTATTGTGGCAAGAATTTTGACAAATCTACAGGGGAGGAGAGGTTAAAATAACAGAAACTATGGGCGTGAAGCTGGTCAAAGCTCTGGAAAGAACCGCCGTCCTTCAACCAGCTTTGCTCCTTTTCAGAATGTCTTCGTGGTGAACAGGGATCTTTTTTTCAAGTGAACTAGGGAGTCTTTTTGCCAATTTTAAAGTGTTTTCATTTTTTTTAAATTTGCACGCTAATTTGAGAGAGAAACTAAACCATGGTATCCCATAAGCTTGAGCTCAGTTCTCGCCTGGCTTCAGCTCTCACCTGGGCTCAGCTCTCGCCTGGCCTCAGCTCTCACCTGGCCTCAGCTCTCGCCTGGGTTCAGCTCTCACCTGGGCTCAGCTCTCACCTGGGCTCAGCTCTCACCTGTGCAGTCAGAGTATCAAGGGCGGCCAGAGCTGACTCCAGGATGGGTAGGGCTTCTGCCAAGTCTGCGTCACACTCATCTTTGATGGCTTTGGCGGCCATGGCTTGATCATTTGCTATTATTTCATCGGCTTTCACGATCTTTTCTGTTTTGGCAACCTCCATGGACTCCCTCTCAATGATTATCATCATTTCATCGACCTCTCTGCTGGCAACTTTTAACTGAGGATGCAGCGCCTCCAGCTCAATCTGCATGGTGGCTACCTGAGACGAGGCAGAGTCCATCTTATCCAAACCCACTTCATACCTCCTTTTCATTTTCATTACTTCACTGGAAGCAGATAGATGAAATAAGGTTAGCTGCAGGGCTCTGTATCCCACAGCAAGGAAAATCTTACCTGTTCTTGACCTTTTTGGTCCATTTCAAGACATAAGGAGTGGTGGAAAAGATTCACAAAGATTAGCAATTTGTGAAAAACAACATGGACACTGCAATACTGGATTATGCACAATTATGAACAAACAGATACACTGAAAACATATAAAATATGATCTAAGTATAAAACAAAACCTCAAAGATAAATATACTAGTTGCAAGGCAAGGAGGCCCTTGTACTAGGACCACACATCTCTATGGAGAGTCACTGGGTAAATTGCTTCCAGTAACATTATTAATCTTTTAATAATCACTTAAAATAGACTTAAGTGCCCCCAAACACATGATTTTGAACACTGCTAGGGGTGGAAACATGTTTAAAACATATTACATCTTCCCAGTACTTAGGAGGTTGAAACCAGCCTGACTGGGCTACATAGTGAGTTTGAAGTCAGCCTTGGTTAGACAGTGAGATCTGTATTTTAAAATGTACTTAATTTTTTAAAAAGTACTACACTTTGAAATAGGAAATGTTTTATTAAAACAAAAAGGACAAGTGAGATAATAAAACAACATTTTTTGGTGCTGTGATTTTTAAAATAATAAATGATTAGAAATAATGATTTAGGGGCTGGAGAGATGACTCAGCAGTTAAGAGCACTGACTACTCTTACAGAAGACCAGGGTTCAAATCCCAACACCTAGATGGTAGCTAACAACTGTCTGTAACTCCCCAGTTCCAGGGGATCCAACACCCTCTTCTGTCCTTCATGAACACTGCACAACACAGGTACACTTACAGACATCACATAAACTAAAAATGAATAAATCAAAAAAAATTTTTAAAGAAATAATTTTAAGGACTTCAAAATTTAATATTTTAATGTTCTTTAAAATGTTTATCTGTGGGACTGAGGAGATGGCTCAGCAGTTAAGAGGACTGACTTCTCTTGCAGAGAACCCGGGTTCAATTCCCAGCACCTACATGGTGGGTAACAACCATCCATAACTGCAGTTCCAGGGGATCTGATGCCCTCTTCTGATCGCCGTGGGCACTGCACAACATAGGTGCACTTACATACATGCAGACAATACACTCATATATATAAAATAAAAATAATGAATAAAATAGAAAATGTTTATCTGTATTTGTATATGTTCTCTAGAAAGAAAAACCTTATCTACAGCATTTTATTTTTATATACTCATATATTAGAATCTTTTAGTGTAAAAGATGACATTTTAGAAATTCTTAAAAACAATACCTGGAGTAGGAAATCAGCCTGGACTATACAAAGTAACAACTACAGAAAGAATCAGCACTGAAAAGGCTACCACAGAGAAGGAAAGAAAAGACAGAAATGAGGGCAGCACATATTTTTATCACATGTTGAATTCCTTCTTGTGAAGTACCTGACAGTAATGGGAACAGAAGCACCAGATATACAATCCTGTACTGTGTGTGGATTCTGTCTCCATCAAAGCCTGTGCAGCAAGCCTGAGCCACGTCAGCACTGGGCCTCATCCCATGTGACATCTGCTAGTCAAGCACTGACTTCTTGGCCAGATGATTTGCTTCTGGGTAATAACTGGCTCTTAAGAGATCTAGGACTTTACCTACTAAGGGAAGCACAAACCCAAGGTAGGAATTGTAGTTGAAGTGAAGGAGAACTTAGAAAAATAATTTGCAAAGAAATTTAAAGGGAAAGAAGGAATAGATGAAAATTTGAAAACCACTGAGAATGCCTAAGAAGCCAGGACTCATCAACCTTCCTAAATGCCTCTATCTCATCATTACAACTTTGCTTTCGATCAGGATAACCTTAAATATTGTGCTTGTACAAATGAGAGCTGAACTCATGAATGATATCCAAAATGCACTCATGATCTCTGAGAAATTATGGTCCTCATGGTTAGGTACAAGAAAGATCTAGATCTCATTATGTAAAGAATCATAACCTCTATAAAGATGGGCAATCAATAACGCTTTGTTTGCTTGCCCTTCAAAAAAAATATAAACACTATATAAAAAAGTACTTAGTCAAGTTTTCAATTGAAATCCAGTATTAACTGAAGACTTCCTTGAAAGAGATAACTAAAATTTTCTAAACATTTAACTTTCAAGCTTTATGGTAATAAGTTTCCAAGTCTTAATTTTTACAACCAAAGAAAGTTTGGGATCAACTTTTCCAAAAATTAATCTTGATGCTTGCTATAGTATATATTTCTTAAATTTCATATTGGCATTTCCAAATGAGAGTTTGTTAGAGAAAGTTGGTCATATAAGTTGAGTAGCTGTGTCTGAGCTTGTGGTTGTATAAAGAGAAGGCTTGAGTATTAGAAATCCTGGTAAAGAAAAAACACTGGAATGTTGCTTCCTCAACATCATTGTCAAGGAATCCTGGAACTAACCACATCTCTAAAGGTCACAGCTTCATTCTTTTGTATGTAGGTGGGGAGTCTATGTGGTGTGCTTATTCATGTGGGTGTATGTGTATGCATGTGTGGAGGCCAGGAGTCAACCTCGGGTGTTTTCCTCAGGAGTCATCTACCTTGTTTTTGGAAACAGTGCCTGTCATTGGCCTAGAACTCACCAAGAACAGTAGGTTGCCTGGATAGCCAACCTGAAAGAGGTGCCTGTCTCTACCTACCTCCCCCAAATTGGAATTACAAGTATATACCACCACACCCAGATTTTTCTGCAATGATTCCAGGCATTGAATCCAGACCTCATGCTTGTACAGCAAGTACTTTACTTAAGAATGAACCTCCTCCCCAGTCCCACTTCCATTCTTTCAACACATGAAATGATGCATTTACTGGGCAATGAATTTAAACCTAAGAATAAGAACTGTTTCCTAATCTCCAGGGTATATTTAAGGACTGAATAACAAAGCTTTAACAAAATGGTACGCTTGGAGGCAAATCATTTTATCATATCGTTGCTATATTGTTTTGTATACTTTTAGTTATTATGGCTTACTTAAAAATATGAAATTTCATTCTTACTTTCTTTTCTTTTCTAACAACAGTTTGAAGGTGGAGATTAATTCAAGATAAGAGGTGGGAGTCACATAGTTATATCTTTGAAGTTCAGTACGGAAGGATGTGGATAAGTTGATAGTAGACGTGTGGAAGCTCTTACACATCTCAATACAGCCTTCCCGGATTTCCTCTGCCATTTCAATTTCTTCCAGGAATCTCGAAGCAACTGCCTCCAATGCATCTTCTGGCCATGACTAAATTTAAAATGAATATTTTAGTAATTTATCAAGGTTACTGAGATAAGCCTGTTACCACTGCAGCCCTTTGTGACTTATGGATGCTAGAGATAGGGAAGAATAGCTGGAGGATGGTGTTGGAAGACAATTTCAAGAACTTTCTTCACCTACTTGTCTGCTTAGGGCAAAATGACTAGTGAGGGTAATGACAACTCTTTATGGTTTGCTCTGGGATTAGAGAAATTGTTACTGAGTTTTGAAGAGGCAAAGAAGAGGAAAGGAACTAAACTCGCAGAATGCCTGCTTCCATATGCATTTTACTACTATTATCTCATTTAATCCCCCTCAAAATTCTCTGAGGTAAATGTTATTATCCTTTCCCCTTAAATAACAGAATCATATAAGTAACTACCTCTTTGGTATCTTTTGGATGACTCAGGAACATCTCAAACTCAAAACACCCACAGCATGATTCCTCTCTCCCCATTAGAGCTATGGTCTTCTCCAACTCTGTAAACATCACCACCATACACCAAGGTGCTCTAACCAAGACAGGAATCATCTTTGATCTCCTCCTCTTCCTCAGCCCTAGACCAATCTACAAGCAAGTTCTATATGTGCCATTCCTAAAGTAGCTTCCAAACCCTTTCTGTATCTACCACAACTTGTGAATCTTTACCTTTCTGACCTTAACTATACCACTTCTCCTCAGCTTGGCCCCTGTCATTCTATTGCCCTTGCCCTTCCCATCCCTTCTATCCATCCCCATCTTCACTAGCTCACTTCTCTGCCTCAATCTTGGTCCAGGTACTTTTGTCTTTAAAGTTTCCTCTTAAACATTGTCTATAGAAAGCCTTTACTCTTGTATATTACCCCATATCATGAAATTATTAGTCTTGCTGCTTTTACTATGAAGTAAGTTCAAGGAGAACATTTTATTTGTCCTCAGTGCCTCTTCATCACCAATTGTAACAGTACGGCTTGGTACAAAGCAAGCAAGAATTCAAAGGATGTATTGCCTGAAATAGTTTATGAGGCAGTAGAGGTACAGAGGCAATGTAAACTGCCAAGGTCATAAATGCTTATGTGTTGGATTCACACATGGGATTTCAACCACAGTCCAAATATCTCATACATGTTGAGAATGCATTGTGCTATATTGTTAAAATCAGAAGGAGAGCTGAGTTCACACTGAGCTCGTCTAGATTTGCTACTTTCTTCCACATCATTATCACACTTTCTCTTTGTCTCCTTGGCTCTGTGCTTCCAATACAAAAATTTACTACAAAAAAAAAAGAAAAAAAATCTCTGTGACATTTTTCCTTTGTTTCTACTGGATTTGGTGGGCAGGAGACTGGAGGGTAGGAAAGGAGGGTGTGGGTACAGTAGCTCAGCTCTGGGTTTCTGCTCCTCCGCAGACATCTCCTTGCTACACACACTGAGATCCAGTCACACTTCCCTCCCCCTGCCCTTTCATGCCCAGATGTGGGGTCAACTTCCTAGTGTTGCTCCCCTACCTCCTGAGTGTGCCAACATTCCCTCTTGACTCCCTTAACCCTCCTCAGGCTTCTGTGAACAAGTCCCTTCCTAGGCTGTTCTTGGCAAAGGCTTCAAGTATGCCATTGTATGCAGATTTGTCCTCAAATTTATCATGTTGAGATTAATGACATGACCACATACGCTCTGAGTGATTTCCTGTGGTGATTTCTGTTACTATGATTGCCTAAGATATATTTTGACAAAACAAGAGTTTGCTAAACTACATACTGGGGTGGAGTCTATAAACTATTTCATGATGATGATGGAGACTGACCATTTCTAGAAGGCCATCTAAAATTTGCATGGTGATACCTGAAACCAGTCAATGGTACAGCAGTTAACAAGAGCAGGGAATTTCCTAAGACGAATCCGAAATGCATCCCCGATGGGGCTCATGGCCAGGACCACGTGCAGCTGGTTGCGGCAACGATCGATGAACATGTTGAAAAGAGCTATGGGGCTGCCGTCGGTTTGCTTGGTTTTATCCCGCTGGCGATCTAATTGCCGCATCTTTTCACATATCTCTTGCTTCTCATCTAGTGCAAAGAGATTTGGAACTTCCCCAGCATTCAGTAGATTGTTGACATCTTCTAAAAAGGATTCTCTTTTAATCTGAGTGTCTGTGAACAGAAAGACCCCCTGCATTTCGCCTTCAGAGCATTTCCTCAAGATCACCTTTAAATCTTCGTGCCACTCGTGGCTACCGTAGCCCTTGGAGATTTCAACCTGGAAAACGGAATAATCAGCCATGTGTGCAGCTAATCTGGTGACAGACTGCCTTCCGCTCCCACCAACACCAACCAGGAGTGCATGGCTTCGCGGCTGCTTCAAGATCCGAGAGATTCTGCTGATGTGTTCGATTGCAAACCGGAACAGGACCAGATTCATGGGTTTCTTGCTCACGTTGTTATATTCTTCTAGGTGACCTTCTACAATCACTCGGAGATTATCTACATCTTTGATTTCCCTGTAGCTGGTGTCTTCCCTCCTGGGGTCATGGAAATCACAAAACATTAAACTTCTTAAATCATCCTCATCTACTTTTCCATCGTTATCGAAGTCCAAGTTTTGAAAAAGGTCATGAAAATCTTCTTGCATGTAATTTTTCAGGATCTCTTGTATGTAGTTAATAAGCCAGCTTCTGTCCGCATTATCCAGCAGGCGATCATAGTACACTCTGAGGACCTGTATAATTTTAAAAAGTGGCTTTAGAAACAATTCTTTTTTCTGTTTTCTTACTTTTGTACTACAAATTATAAAACATAAAATAGGTAGGTAAAACAAAATTCTGTAGAAAATTCCTACAGGTTTTGTCAAAAGTGTATCCAAGGAATCAAGACTATTTCATACTAAATTTATTTTCAAATGTTATTTATCTTTATTTTATGTGTATGAGAGTATTGCCTGCATGTGCATAAGTGCACCAGTGTTGTGCGATGCCTATGGAAGTCAGAAGAGGGTTTCAAATTCCCCTGAAACTGGAGTTACAGATGGTTGTTGGCCAAGATGTGGGTGCTGGGAATCGAACCTGGGTCCTCTACAAGAGCACCCAGTGCTCTTAACCAATGAGCCATCTCTCCGTCCTCTAAAGTTTATTTTAAATATTAATTTTAGCCATGTCTATTTGATACAATTTGAAAGGACTAATGGACTGTGTAGATGCAAAGAGAGCAGAGGCCTCAAGAATAGGCTGCTTATGTTGGTGGATCAGATCCCTGAACCAGTCACAGAGTAGTGACTGCCTTTGCTGATCTCTCAGACCCACATCACAGAGTTTGGGCACTGGAAGCCAGGGTTTGCCACTTCCTTTTTCCAAGACATTTCCTTTTACCAGGACTGGTAATTAGGAATGCTTCTGAGAAAAGTTATTTGTTGCATTTTTAAGTATCTTTTCTAGAAAGGAAGTGTCTTGGGTACTTTGACATTTATTAATTTTTGTTGGAAGTCACTTCAGAAGGCAACATATTAAAATAAACCTCTGATTATATGCATATAATATGCATAGAAATGAGTATACAACAATGATGTCTTCAAACTGATACGATTGTCCTGTGGCTAGTCTGTTTTTAGGCTGAATTATACATCCTTGCTTTTAGAGAGCACACCAAGAGGGGACTGTAGCTCTGGCTCACAGGAGGGGAAGTTCTTCTGGGTATGTAGTTAGAAATAGAATTGCTAGTCACATGGTACCTGTATTTAACCTCTACTGTACTGCTAGTTTTCCATGTTATGTTCCCACTAGCCGTGTATGAGGGTTCCAGTGATTTCACATCCACACTAGTACTTGTTCTTATTCATCATTTGATAATGACCATTCTGGTGGATGTGAGGGGTACTTCATTGCAGTTTGATTTCCCCAATGACTAATCATCTGAAGCATCTTTTCTTGTCCATTGTAAATCATCTTAAGAGAAATGTCTACTCAAATCTTCCACCTACTCTTAAATTGGATTACATTTATAAAAGTAAGTTCAGTCGTAATAGTTTCTTATGTATTCTGGATAGTACCCACCTAACATATATAGTTTACACATACTATCTACTTTCTATATATTGTCTTTTTGCTTTCTTGGTAGTATCCTTTGCAACATGAAAAATTTTAATTTTGATGAAAATTTCTAATTTTAATTCATTTATCTCTTTTCTAGGGATATCTTTATTTTATAGGTTATCTATATTTAACAAGCAAAACAGTAATAATCTGACTAAAGTTTGAGTGCTTTGGAGTAGCCAAGAGAATGAAAAGAAACCAGATTCTTTAAAACCATTTCATGAAGTTGTCTTTGGTCCAGTGAGGTAGCAATGTCTGAAGAGGAAAAGGACACCCACTGTGGTCTTTGACATGCCTTAAGCCTGAAGGACGCTTTCTTGAGTGAACAGAAATAAAACACAAACTAGAATGCAGAGTTCCATACTTCATATTTTTTGAAATGCTGAGAACAATGTGTCAAACAGTGTTCCTGGCACTGAAGATAAATCAGTGAAAGAAAAAAGAAAAGTGAATCTTCCTTACAGAGCTGATGTGCTGAGGAAGACAGACACCAAATATAACAAATAGATTATACAGCACAGTAGAAGTTGGCAAATGTGATGGAAAAGAGGAAACAGAACCGGACAGGGAAGTCTGAACTGATAGGATAGGAGTGGGGTCTTGGGCTATAGTATTAATTCAGTGAATCCTTCACTGAGAAGGCAAGATCTGATTAAAGGGAGGGAGTTGTCTAGCCTGGAGGATCAATGCCCTCCCAGCAGCCCAAGGAAAAGTGGGTAAAGGCACCCAAACCAGGCCCTATGCACTACTGGACTAAATTTGTGAATTAATCTGAACTCATTACATACATATAAACATATCTGCATATATGAGAATATGAAGTGGTCATTAAAATTGCAAGTTATTTTGTCATGAACCTTACTAAATATCCAAAGAACTCATTAGCTATTGTTAAAGCTCAATAATCTGATACCTAATGCAGTATAGAATCTGAAAAAGGCTAAAAGCAACTGTATCTATCACACATAAATAACAGTACATATAAACTACTCCAGTGACTAGAAGGAACCAATGGCATGCATAATCCCAAGTGATAAGAACTGTTATGTAGTAGGAAGCTTGCCTGTCTTCTGCTAGGTACTAATTCATCACTATTTACTGAGTATTGTTATATACTAGGCACTAAGGAAAGTAGTGAATAAACAAAAGTTACTGCAGTCACAAGGCCTCTATTATAACAAAGACAAGGAGAAAGGAAAAAATTTAGAATGTGTCATGTTATAGTCAGTGTTATGAAGAATAAATCAAAATAAGGACTGATGGATCTGTGGGGATAGAGTAGCCTATGCATTAAGGAGATGTCTGAGTAAGACCATAGGCCTGTGTATAATGTGGAGAGATATTTAGGCAGAATGATGAAGACCAATACACCTGAGGTAGAAAGTGCTAAAGGCTTCCTAGACAAAAACTGGCACCTAATGCTGCCTTAGGCAATGCCCTTTGCTATGTTCTAAACCTTTATGTCACTATGAAATTTATGGGTTGAAATCCTCATTCTGAGTAATGGTATTAGATGTGGCCTTTGGGAAGTATTAGGTGCTGGGGCAGAGTGGTCACATGTAGAATTAATCATCATGTGGACACAAGGAGATGGCACTGTGTAGAAGCAAGGAAACAGGCTTTTCATAGACTCACATCTGCTAGCATTCAAAACTTCTCAGCCTCCAGAACTGTTAGAAATAAATGCCTCTTACTGGCAAAGCTACCCAGTCTTTGTCAAAGCAGCCCAAACAAAAGAAGGCACTCTCCTTCAGTGCCTTTGATGCTGCCTCCCCATTCCTTCCCTCTCACTCTCCAGCTTCCAGCCTTTTCTATGATTCATTTGCCTGATGAACTTGGAGCCTCTGTTCCCATACTCAGAAGTAGGACACCCTCAGTCAGCTAGGTGAACTAGTCTGGAGCAGTTGGGTTACCAGATCATCCTTTCCAAAGAACATTTTACAACCTTGCTGCGGCCAAAACTTAGAAGTGGAGTGGATGGATAGGCACTAAGATTCAGATTTGAGTTTGTAAGACTTTAAAATTCAAGTATGGTATTGAAAAAGCCTAGGGAAACTGGTTTAAGACCTTTAATTTTAAAAATTATTTTTAATTGGGACTGGAGAGATGGCTCAGTGGTTAAGAGCGCTGACTGTTCTTGCAGAGGACCTGGGTTCAATTCCCAGCACCCACATGGCAGCTACGAATCGTCCTTAACTCCAGTTCCAGGGGAATCTGAAGCCCTCTTCTGACCTCCACATCATTGCACGACACAGGTGCACTCACATACATGCAGGCAATACACTCATACACATAAAATAAAAATAGTAAGTAAAATTTTTTTAAGTATTATTTTTATCTTTGTCTATGAGTATGTTGCCTGCATGCATGCAAGTGTACCATGTCGAACAATGCCCGCAGATGTCAGAAGAAGGCGTTGGATTCCCTGGAACTGGAGTTATAGACAGTTGTTGGCTACCATATAGGTGCTAGGATTCAAACCCATGTCTTCTACAAAAGCAGTAAGTGCTCTTAACTGCTGAGCCACCTCTCCAGCCCCCACCTTTAAGTTTTTACTTGTACACATGGATTTGGTATAACAGCACATCCTCATTTCTGAGTTTCTTACCTACAGTATTAAAAATTAAAATAACTCTATTATTCATGTATTTAAAATGTGCTGGTTAGACCCTTTCTGTATACGTTTCTGTCGTCTCTGTGACCATTTAAAATATCACTCTTTGTGTTTTCTGTCTTATCTCCTGTCAAGTTTTATAAGAAAATGCACATTCAAAACAAGAAAGGAAGGAAGGGAGGGAGGGAGGAAGGAAGGAAGGAAGGAAGGAAGGAAGGAAGGAAGGAAGGAAGGAAGGCATCAGATCATTAGTCTCAAGATAATTTGTATAGAAAAACTTTCATAGATTTTGTATGCTCTCAAACTGTGAATCCTAAAGTTGGTTTGCTTTGCAGCTTTGTTTTCATTGGGGGCATTTATAAATAATAATGTAAATTGATATACTCCTTATAAAAATATCAGCTTAAAAATATTCCATCACAAAAAAAAGCTTTAACAACAAAGGAGGATTAAGACACTTAAAGGAGAGTGATTGAAATTAATCTCTACTTCAAAATATCCTGCAAATCAACAGAAATACTTTAAAATGGAAGATCAGACACTTTCCAAATACTTTAGATTTATTAATATTAAATGTTTTAAAAATTACCTTGATCTGAATAGCTAAATATTCTTCCACAGCATAAATCACTAAGTATTTCTTTTTACTCTGTTACTACCATAGTAATTCTTGTTTCTTTCATAATCACATTTGAATGACATGGAATTTTACCTCATGAACCCAGAGACGTTTGATCGCTTCTTTGTTTTCTGCTGTTTCTGGTCTTGACAAACAAACACCCTGAATGACACGGGAGAAGTCACGAAGGTTGAACAAGTAGTGGGATTTGGCAGGAGTAGGCAGGAGATTCTTCATGGCATCTTTGTACAGAGTCATTGTGCCATTCACAATTTGTGTGGTCAAATCTAGAAAATCATCTGGAAACTTAAAACTTAAGAAAAAATTTTAAATAAGAAAAAAGTTAGCAAATACAGTAATAATTCTGTGACCAATATAAAGTTTAATTCTGATTGAATCAACTTGATTTATAAAATTTCTACTTATTATAAAAAGTCTAGACTTTTCAAGGTGGTTTTCATTCACTATTTTATGTTATGTCCAAAGGAAGCCCGTGAATTCAGCAGGATCAGCCTAGTAGATCACACTGTGTAAGCACAAAAGGCAACCAAGAACCACCCACGTGTGACTCCAAATCCTGTGTCCCCAAGACAAAAGCTTCCTAGCTCTTTCTCTCCCTGGTGTTCTCAATTGCATATAAATAGGATCCATAAGAACGTTACTGGAATAAGTACTTTTAGAAAAAAGAAGAGAATAAAAGTACAAAGTAAAAGGAGAATAAAAGAAACAAGTGCATAGTTCAGGCAGATAGAAATCCAGGGAAAGAATATTCATTTTGGAAAGACTGGCTATATTTAACTCCTGGCTTGACAAGAAGCCAGGTGTCTGCTCCATCACCACTAGGTGGGACAAGAATGGGCACCAGAGATAAGATGGCTGATGCCCAGGTGAGAAGGGCTCCCTGCTATCCATACATCTTCTGGATTAGAATTCAATCCCAGAACTGGGAAACATTTTCTAGGTAACAGGTTCAAGGCTGTACTCTCAAATTTGGGCAAGGATACCCTGATTTATACTAGAAGGTTTCAAAGTCACAGCATAAACTTGACACCTCTTCCCAGCCTTCATTTATAAAAATTCAAATCACTCACACATGGACATATTGTGTAGCAGAATGAATGTTACCTTTGTGCTCTGCTAGGTGCTGGGAGATGGGAATGGAGGGGAGCAATGGCACCTGTGATCTTTGCTCTGTCTAGAGATGATTTCATGGAAATGCTGGATAAATATTATTCATATTAACATGTTTCTAGATTATTTTATACCTCTTAATGAAAAAATCCAAACAGACCTTAAATTAATTACTTACCAGGTTCTTAAGTGCCAGGTTAGGATTTTAGAGAAGATTGTAAACATGGATTTATCACTGAATTCATTGATTGTTATAATATTAAAATGTCTCATATAGCGAGGAGTTATTGGATTTCGGCCGCCACCTAAATATTAGAAAGGGTAGTTGTTAATAATATTACTAGAATATATTAAAGTATTTTCTCCAGTACCATACCGTTTACCATAACATGGAAGATGATAAACTCATGACACACAAGAAAGTTAAAAACAACCAATCATTTGGAGGACACTGATATCAAAACTATTTTCTGCTCAAACTCAAGCTGTTGGTTTTCTAGTTGGATTACCTGAACAGATTCAGTCTAGTGACACAGCTGATTCTCCCACATCTTGACATCAGTCTCCCATAGTCTCTGTACTGCATTCAGCAGCTTCACTGCTGGCTCATGCTTTTAAAATTCTGGGACTTGTTTTCATAAAACAATGATTTCATTAACAAACACGAGGCTTTAATAACTGAATTAGAATTTAACATATCATTTTACAAAATGTTATCATCTTTATAACATATAGTCTGGAGACAAGGCTCAGTGGATGCACACATGCTTAGCACCCTCAAGGCTCTGGGTTCAGTATCAGCACCACAAATAAAATATATAGACAAATGACAGTTATATTTTAAAGGGATAATATCATATAATCTTTAGCAAAGAAGTGACTTTAAAGGTACACAATCAGGGCTAGAGAGATGGATCAGCAGTTAAAAGCACTGGCTGCTCTTGCAGAGGACATGGGTTCAGTTCCCCACACCCACATGGTAGCTAACAACTGTCTGTAACTTCAGTTCCAGGGGATCTGGTGCACTCTTCTGACCTCCACAGGCATTGCATGCACCAGTGCATTTAGCATGCAAGAATTCATACACATAAAATATAAATAATAAATAAATAACAAACATTTAAAATATTTTTATTATTATTTTATTTTTATGTATATGAGTGTACTGCCTGCATGTATGTGAGTGCACCCGTGTCATGCAATGCTGCAGAGATCAGAAGAGGGCTTTGGATTCCCCTGGAACTGGAGTTAAGGACGGTTCGTAGCCACCATGTGGGTGCTGGGAAACAAACCCAGGTCCTCTGCAAGAGCAGTCAGTGCTCTTAACCACTGAGCCATCTCTCCAGCCCCAATAACTAAATAAACATTTTAGAGTACATAATGGGGGCTCTCAGAATGCAGAACAGGAATGCAAAATGCATTCTCAGAATGCAGAACAGGGCTCTCAGAATGCAGAACAGGAAGTATAAAGTCAAGTCCCAGAAAATGAGAAAGGATTTGGAAGAGCTGGTGGGCAAATGTTCCAACCAGGCTCATTCACTTTATGGAGTTGACTATTATGGTACATTCCATTAGACCTCAATAGACACACATTGAAAATATATCCCTTAAACACTGTAACTAAACTGCCTGATTGGGTTTCTCATTCTTTCTCCAGTTACCTCTTTAGAGACAGCCAGAGTAGTTTATTGTCTTAATAATCACAAACTCAGAATGTTTATATACCTGGAGGTCCCATAGCACACATGATCTGGATGTCCACTAGTTTAATCACAGAACAATCTTTGAGGTCGTACCAATTCCAGTGATCTAACCACTGTCTAAGCAACTCAATGGGAGGTTGAGCCCCATAGACCTCCAGAGCAGGCATATTGACATCGTCTACAAAGACAACCTAAGAAAAAGAGAAGAGATATTAGAAAATACTAACATTTGATATGGTGTCCTGCTGTGTAAATAAAGTTGAGGCAGATTATTAGTCTGTATTCTTATAGAGTGCATATGTGGGAAGCAACGGTTTCTTTTCCAAACAAGCTTTCATGGACCAAGGAGATATTTTTTCCCATTTCATGTTTCTATAGAAACAGGGAAAGCTTCTCATTACTAATCTTTGTAGGCTAATAGTTCAGGACTTGCAAACCCTCTTATATTATCTGTTTCTAATATACTTTGTCTTTTTCCTTGTATAATATTTCAACTTATTAAAATAGAAAAGGAGTGATTTTTAGATGAATATAATAAGTGGTGAGGGTTAGGTTGAGAATTGGTGTTCTTTGCAGAGGAACACAAATAAGTCATTTGGTAGATAAAGTTCTTAAAGGTCCAGAAAAGCAAACAGTAAATACTCTAAGTGTTAGAGAAGGAATTAAGATAGAACTTCTCAAATGTATATTCTGGTTTCAATTCCAAGGACAGTCACTTAAAAATAATATCAAGATGTTCAGTAACATACAAATATTACCAGTTTTAGAAATTTTATTTTTTGAAACAGAGGCTCATGTATTCCAGGCTGACCTCAAATGTGACATGTATCTGAGGATGACCTTAAATTTCTGATTGCCCTGCCTCAACCTTCTGAGTGCAGGCTTGTGGCACTGCACAGTTTACAAGGTGCTGGGGTTCAAACCCAGAGCTTTGTGCATGCTGAGCAAGCACTCTATCAACTTAGCTACATCGCTAGCCCAGGAAATTTTTAAATAAAAAGTTGTGACTTAAAGAAAAGCAGGCAGGGCTGCAAGATAGCTAAGAGGGTAACAGTGTCTGCTGTCAATCCTGACCACCCCAGTTAGGTTCTGGAATCCACATGGAGGAAAGTGCTGAGGCACTAAGATATGCGTGCGTGTGTGCGCGCACACACACACACACACACACACACACACACGTGTACACTAAATAAAAAGATAAATAAATACAATCTTTAGTATATTTGGTTTCTCTTTTCTGATTGCAGTAGCATAGCACTAAAGACCCATTAAGAAAAAAAAATCTCCTTCCTGTCAAGAGACTAGAACCTCTGGCCTGGGTGGAAACCTAACATTTCAGTTGGGCCAGGTCAGTCACCTAGAGAAGGGACCACCCATAGGAAGGTAGGCTCATCTTAATTCATGCTAAAGAGAGAGGCAGAATAATTTAGCCTTTAATGAGATAATGTACTTTTCTTTCCCAGAATCCTGGCCTGTAGCACAGTGGTTTACTAGGACAGCAATTATGTGCTTGGTAATTCTGCCTGCTTTTCTGGATTACTCAGAAAAGCACAACTTCTCTTTCTCTTCTTTGTCTCTCTTTTATAAGCATGCATTCCCTAATATTTTGTTTTCTCCCAATATTTTGGGTTTCCTTACTCTTTCTCTAAAGTGCCCCACCCCCTGATGTTATTGCTATTCCACCATGTGTCTGACCTCCATGCAGACTTAAACAGCTTGGATTTTTTTCTCTCTCTCCTTCATTCTCCTCCTCTGGGCAGCTGCTGAGATTTACAGCTTGCCTGCTTTGAAAGTTTTTCTTTTAAACTCTAGTAAAATTGTCCTCAAGCTTCCATTTGAGTTCATTCTTAAATTCTTTTACTAATGAAACTAAGAACCCCAATAAGAGATCCCAATTTCCCTTGTATCATCTGAACCATGAAAGAACCCCAAGATTCCAGTAGCAACAGAACTGGTATTGTACTATGGATAGAAGAAACATAAAAAAAGCTATTACCATCCTCTTGCCCAAAGGAGGACCAAAAACACCCTTTCTTCTTTTGTCCAGTTTTGACATAATAATATTCTGAGTTTGGGCTGCTGTAGTTTGTGCTGAGAAGTTAATTATCAGAGGTTTGTAGATCTCCTTATTGAGTTGATTTAGAAGAAAATTCTACATAACAAGAAATAATAGCATGAGCCACAGCTGAACTGTGTTTTGCCATTTTAGAATAAACACTGTGCATCATTGTTCACAGATTTGAGTCTAACCTGACATGTCAGAACAATGCCAAAAAAGATGGAATCAATAAGAAATAACAGTTACCATGCCAACAGGTTTCTACCTGCCCAGGTGCCTTGTATGCATCTTCTCTGATTTCCACAGCCATTATGAGGAGTACACATTCCTTCTTAACATGAAGCTCAGGGACTAATGAGGTTAGGAAAGTTGCCTCCGGCCTCAGAGAAAGATAAGAATTCCATCTGCCCTTTGTTTCTTTCTAGACCAGTGTTCTTTTAAATACACATTGCTGTTTTTAAACTTATATACCAAGTTATCTTTCTTTAAGTTAAGAAGCTTAAATAATATTTCAAAACAGAATTCACTGGAAAATGGGTAGAACTACAATGGTTTTCAATCAAGATGTAAGGGAAGACCAAGACATAGGGTAGATCCCAATTTTATGAAAAGTAGTGTTTTTAATATCAGTAGTGTCTATTGCCCGGGTTGAATTTGATGGAGGAATAAATGACAAAAAGTTGTATTTTCTCCATATTATGCCTCAATGCCTGATCCTAGAAAAACCAGGACATGCCCAAATATATTCCAGGATTAAAGCATTCAGCAAAAATAATATCAACGAAGAACCAGAAATGAACACTGTCAACAATTGGGGGAACCTGAACGAAATGAAAACATAAGTTGGAAGATGGTCTGAGAGCACCTTACCTCCCCTCTGCCAGCTAAGGAGAGTGGCCAAATTTGGGACACGCTCTGTTACAGCAGCTGGTACTTTTAAAAACTGACACAACTGCTATGATTCAAGAATCACTGTGGAAAATCAGTCCTTTTACTGTACAGCAATCCATCAGATGTCAGATAAGTTAGAATAGTAGCCATCAAGTGTAACTGATGAAAATACAAGTTTTCCAAAGATGTAATTCTCATTCTCAATAAACTTTTCATAGTAAAATGTGACAATAATTTACTGACAAAATATCATTATCATCTGATACAGGCAGCCAACCAGAGCAAAACAGTTGAGCTTTTAAAAATTTATTTATTTATTTATTTATTTATTTATTTATTATTTATTGAGACAAGTTCTCACTACATAGCCCTTACAACCTGGAACGTACTATGTAGACCAGGCTGGGCTGGAATACACAGAGATCCTCATCTTCTTCTTCTTCCTGGGTGCTGGAATTAAAGGTGTGAATCACCATTCCTAGCATAAGAGGGTTTTTTTTTTCTGTTTTGTTTTGTTGTTATTGTTTGATGAATTCTTTGATGAATTTTCTAAAATAAGAGGCAATTACCCCAAACACCCTATAGTTTAAACAACAAATTAGTTGAGTGTCTGCCTAAGCTAGCCATTTAAACATTAGCATTCTAAGGAATGCATGTTTTAGACTACAAATTTCTACAGTACATACGATGATGTAGACACTCTTTCCAGTTCCTGTTGGTCCTACAAAGATTGAAGGTTTCTGATGAGTGGTAAGCAAATTCATCAGAGCAGAATATCGAACTGTATCCAGAGTTGGCACGATGATTTCATTAAACAGCACGTCTTTGGGAATTGGAGGAGCATCTCCTAATTTCTTTATCCATGGTTCCCATCTTCCTATTCCCTGTTTATGATAAACAACCAAGCAGGGGAAAGCTATAAAACATTTTCAGACTACATCTGTGCTATTGCAGAAGAGATCAAAACCAACAAAATCCTGAAATTTTCATATTTTTCCTGTTCTTTAGAACACTTACTGCTTAAGTTGAAAGTTAGTTTGTATAAATGGAAGAAAAAAAACAGCTTTCATGTGAATAAAAGTGAGATGGCAATGCGGTGAACTTCCGGTTCTGAAACTGGCTGCTCCTAATACAAACATCAGCATTAGATTCTTTAAAGACACTGACAAAATTTAATAAATCAGGGAGCTAAAAACTAAAGAATTTAATATCTGTTAACAGACATAGGTTACAATTTCCATAGATAATAATTGTATATTGCTTGACTTTTACTGTATTTGGCTTATTTCAGGCAAGATTTGTCTTTATGAAAATGTATAAATGTAATTTTAATAACTATAAGTATACAACATAGCAGCATTAACTATATTCACATTGCTTTGTGACAGATATATAGACTCGCAAGATTTCTCAATTTATGTTTAACATGAATTAATATTATCTATATATTTGCATACAATTGGTTTGTGAACTATATAATTTAATTTTCTAGAATAATGTTTATAATAAATAAAATTTAAAAATTTTGTTTTTCTCTCTAGTAAATATTTATTGCCTTCTCCATTGTATTTTTTAATTTTTAAGATTTTTTAAAAATTATTTATTTAATAACCACATACTTAGAAGAAGCATTTCATTACAACAGCATTGACATATGCAATAACAATTTCCAGAGCTAAGATATATCTCTTTCAAAATTGACTGTAAATTTTTAGGTTCACAGTTGAATTAATACAGTTATACAATATTGAACTCTGTATAAAGCCCATAAGACATAAAATTGAATGAGGTTTTAACCTTTAAGAAACATCTGCATTTCATTTTAAAATATATTGTTTCATACAGAAAACAATATCATTTTTAATGCTACCAACACTTAGATGTTTGCATATGCATCTCTAATCTCTATGTACCTGAGTATTACTAGTCAGAGTCGGTTACTTTCTGAGATCCTTGGCACCTGAGCATGGATATAAGGTCATCAGGTAGATTTTAATGGTAGTATTTTTCACCTCTACTAATTAACATGAAGCAAATTTTTATGCTTCTTCCTCAAATATAACAAATTTTTTATTTGTTGATTTTTTGTGTTTTTCATACAGAACATCACAAACAATCTTATTCATCTACATACCCACATCCCAAATGACAGCCCCCATAAACTTTCCCCCCTCCATGGACCCGTATACTTTGTCATCCCTGTTATTGTCCACTGTGTTGTTGGTGCCCCCAGCCATTTCCCAGTGCTCGTCCATCCACTGAATCTTGTCAGCCTATCTAGAGTTCCTTGTTTTAGGGAGCTCAGATCTTCCTCATCTAGCAGCAATCAGTTGCCAGTATTCCTTTAGAAAATATTAGGGTCTGATGTTCATTGTCCCAATTCTATGCTGGGTTACTGTTTGGGAGTCCCTTGGGTCACCCTGGCCAACAACTCAAAGGAAGGTATCTCCTGTCGGGCATTGTTTTTTGTTATGTAGCCTTTAGTTATACACATGGACTCTTAAAAAATTACATTGATCACTTTAATCTTTGGTTATAGGTTTAAGACCATACAGTCTGCCCAGATAAGCCAATTTACTTTTACTCTTATGGTCATTAGAGGATCTGTTCCTCAGAGGTCACCTGGGCTTGGGAGGGGCCCCTGGCTCATTTCTTTTACCAGTTCCATCTATGTGAAG